GGTGCTGGGGAGGTGGGAGAGGCCCGGCCCAGCGAGGTTAGGCCTGGTCGGACTTGGTGAGTCAGACGTGGGGAGGTGGGTTGGCCCAGGCTGGCCCGGCTGCTGCCCCCCTAACCTCCCTCCCCCCCCAAGGTGTTCTTCGACCTGCGGATCGGCGAGGAGGATGTGGGCCGCGTCGTCATCGGGCTCTTTGGCAAGACGGTGCCCAAGACGGTGGAGAACTTTGTGGCATTGGCCACCGGAGAGGTGAGGGGCCAGCAGCTGGCTGGCTGGGCCTCAGCCGCCCTCCGGGAGGCTCCTGCTTGGCCCCCTGGGGCACCCAGCTCTAGTCCGTCCCTTTGCTTCACTCCGTTTTCTCCCTCCCCACCCCCAGAAAGGATTCGGCTTCAAGGGCAGCAAGTTCCACCGTGTGATCAAGGACTTCATGATCCAGGGAGGAGACTTCACCCGTGGAGATGGCACTGGAGGTAATTTGGCCCACGCCAGCCCGAGGATCCAGCCACACTCCCAACCCACTGCCTGGCTACCCCTGGGGACCAGTGTGGAGCTGGAGCATGGTGCCACAGTGGGAACGAGTGGGCATGAGTGGGCACACAGCTTGTAGAGACCTGGCCTTGAAGCAGAGCTTGGTGCTGGGGATAGATGGGTGCAGTGAGGCTTGGCTGGCTGGTACCTGAATGTTACGCATGTAACTCCCCTCTGCCCCAGGAGGACCTGGAGCTCCTCACCAAGAAAACTTTCATCTGCAGCAGGTGGTGCCTCTGCCAGGCATCCTGGCTGCCAGGACACATTTAGTCCAATAGCAGCAGAGTTCAAACCTTCCACCAGCGCTTTGCGAACATCAGTAAAGTTGATGAGATCAGCATTTGGGCTTGTAAGCTCTTGGTCTGCTCTCACACAGCCTCCTGCTCTGGTCCCTTGGGGACACGATACCTCCTGCCCACTTCGTGGGGTGCTTTTAGCTCCCTCTGGTAGCAGGTAGCTCATGGTTACCTGCAGCCCTACGGTGTTGGTGGTTAGTCCCCTCTCTAGATGTGCTCATTCACCCCACCCAGCCTGTGGAGAAGGCCACCATCATCACCCCTGCCCTGACATATTTCCATGAGAGCAACATGGCCTTTTTTTTTTCCCCCACCTTAGGAAAAAGTATCTATGGGGATCGCTTCCCTGATGAGAACTTCAAGCTGAAGCACTACGGCCCTGGGTGGGTGAGCATGGCCAACGCTGGCAAGGACACCAATGGTTCCCAGTTCTTCATCACCACAGTGAAGACGCCGTGGCTGGACGGCAAGCATGTGGTGTTCGGCAAAGTGCTGGAGGGCATGGTAAGGGGGTGATGGGTGGTAAGGGGGTGATAGATTCCCAGGGGGAGAGTGGGACCGGGCAGATGCTGCCTAGGCAAGCTGGCTGGGGGCAGAACACTGTGAAGAATGGACTGGGAGGTGCCTTCTGGGACAGGGAATTGTGCTGAGCTGGCTCTGCCTGTGCCCAGCATTGCCCCGCTCTCATGCCTCTGCTTTCCCCAGGACGTGGTGAGGAAGGTGGAGAACACGAAGACAGACAGCCGGGACAAGCCCCTGAAGGACGTTGCCATCGCCGACTGCGGCACCATCGAGGTGGAGAAGCCATTCGCCATCGCCAAAGAGTAATCCAGCCTCCCGGCTCTGCGACATGGCACAGGGTCCTGCACTCTGCAAGGGACCTGGCCGCCAAGGGCTGCGGGCCTGGGACTGCCCTGCTCCCCCACCATGCGCTTCCCTGTCATCCCGGGGCGGGTGAGCAGCAGCAGAGCCGCTGTGCCCCACTGCCCGGCCTCCCCCTTCACCCTGCCGCCGGCCAGCGGGCAGGACGGGGCACTGGCTCCTCTTCCCATCACTTTTGTAAGAAGCACATGCACCAATAAATGTGACCAATGTGTTTTTTAAAGAGTTGCCTCTCTTCTGCTTTCAGAGGGCTGTGGGTCACTTATGGATCCCTCAACCCTCCAACCCCCTTCTTTCATGTTTCATCAAGCTGAGAGCAGCACTGCGGTTGGCCCTGGATTTGCTTTGCGGAATTACAGAGCACAGCCATCTTTTGCCAATCAAGCCCAAGTGATTTATTGCACTGAAGCCCAGATGCTGAGGGGTTTTGCAGCATGGTTCGGGGTACAGGCTCCTACCGCAACCCCAGAACACCAGGGCAGAAGGCAGAGCTCCTGCTCTCCCAACAAAGGCACTTTGGACAGTGGTGGGTGAGCAGCGCTGGCCTGGAGAGCAGCTGTGGCTCCCACCATACCCCTTGGCTTCTCCCACCCAGTTTTCCTGCCCCATCCCAGCAGGGAGGAGTTATTTTTACTGCAGGGATCCTTTCCGCTGCCTGGCTGCTCACCACTGTGGCCCTGGGTGCTGGGTGGGTGCTCAGGATCCTGGCAGGCTGGGGCCTCGGGGTGCGGCCTGGCTGGGGATGCAGCTTGGGGGGATGTAGAGGCCCTGCAGCACCCCACTGAGGATGGTGTCGGGGAGCAGGTCTGTAAGGAAAGGGTAGAGCTGGAGCAGCTTTGTTTCCTTCCCAGGCCCCATTAAAGGAAAAACACATTTCAGGGGCCCAAAAGAGCCTTTTCCCTTGGAGGCTTTGGGGACCTGCACCCATGGTCCTGCTTCTTACCGGTGCCCAGTGGCCGTGCGTAGGGGTCGGTGCAGAAGCCGATGACGGGCCGCTGGGAGGGCAGGCAGCTGGCACTGCCGTGGGAGAAGGGACGTCAGCGCCTGGCGAAGGCTCCCGCTTCCACCCCGGGTGACCTGGCCCCATGCCAGCCCCCTGCCTGTCTCCATCGTCCCAACCCTGTGTCTTGGGGTGCTTAACAGTTGAGGGGGGAGATCCCAGCACCATGCGGGATGAACTGGGTGCTGGCAGAGCCTGATGGCACTGTCCACCGCTTGTCTACTCACAGGGGCCTGCTGGCCTTGGGGTCCTGTGGGCAGCGCCGCACCTTTAGGAAGTCCAGCACGTCTTGGGGCAGCTCCTTGTTATGGTACAGGACACCCTGCCGTGCACCCGGGGGGGGTGTCAGCAACACAAACAAAAAAAACCCAAAACACAGAAAAGCCACTGCCAGCTGGCACCTTACCCGGATGTAAAGCTCCAGGCCCTGCCGGCGCTGCTCCAGCACTTTGGGCATCCAGTTGGGGACATGGCGAGGGGGGAAGTCAGGGACCTTGCAGGTCTTCTTGATCTAGGGTAGAGCATGAGGGACATCATGGCAGCATGGACTGTGAGGCTGGCCCTCCCTGCTCTGGGGAGCTGCTCTGTCCCCAGGCAGGTGCAAGGCCACTGCAGTCCCACCCGTGTCGTTCCCCGCCCCGCGGTGCCAGGGGTCTCACCCGCTTGTGCAGCGCCTGGAACTCGCTGTAGCGCTTTGTCACCGTGTGCCGCCGGCCATTGCACAGCACCTCCACCCTGAACACCTGTGCCACAGGTCAGCCACTGTGGCCTCCATCCTCATTCTCGTCATCCTCCCAGGGGAGGTAGAGGCCTCCAACTCACACACGCACACACCCCAACCCCCCACCACCCACCCCCCTCCCCCCAAGCTGGGGAGGGCACTTGGGGACCTCCACCCCACACACACTGTACAGGACAGACAGAGACACCCCCC